GGAGGGCAGAATTTAATCTAATTAAGTGATTAAAAAAAAAAAAAAACATTAACTGCTTGAAGGAACATAATGGGTAAAGCTCTTCCAAACAGTTACTTTAACAATCTGACAACAGTTAGCAATTAATAAAAGTTTTGAAAGAAACACATACACACAGATCTACATGACCAACGGGGCCTGTGTTAAAACACAGTGACGATCAGACAGCATGACAAAAAACCCGCTGCAACCCACTGCACAGTCCACCCCCGATGACAGGTGTCATTACCTGGGGCGGGCTCTTTTCCAAGTCAGAGGCCTGTGTTGTATTAATATTTCCTATAACAAGTTTTAGATTAAGTTCGGCTAGTTGTCTTTGGCAACAAATCTAAGCGCGACACGTGGAAATTATTTACATACCCAGGGACCTGATTAGCAGATGTTTACTTGGCAGCCACAGCAAACTGCTAAGTAGAATAGCAAGCTGATTTCCAGAGATTCTTTGAAACTAAACCTCCTCTCGACTCTAGTGCTTACCAAGGAAATGTTTAATACATTTTGGGTGTGGGCGTGAATCTTTATTAATATTAATGGAAAATTCGTATACATTATGTATTACATTGGCTTGTGAAAACCATTTCATTCAATAGAGGTGGCATTTTAAGTGGATACATAATGACTACATGTTCATAAGTACAGTGTGATATTTCCATACATGTACACAATCCGTGATGATCCAGAGTCCTTAGTGTATCCATCACCTCAAATATTTATCATTTGTTTCAAAATTATCTCCTCTGGTTCTTCTTTATATATATATATTTAGTTGTAGAGAAACACAATACCTTCATTTTACTTAATTTATTTTAATGTGACGCTGAGGATGGAACCGGCTCTATCTCTGAGCCACAACCGCAGCCCCTCCCCTCTGGTTCTTTTGAAGCACATATTATTAACTATATAGTCAGCCTATTGTGCTAGAGAATTCTAGAACTTATTCCTCCTATCTAACTGTGTTTTTTAACCTGTGAACTAACTTCTGTTTCTCCAACTTCCTGTTCTTCCCAGGGTAGGGACATCTAGTCTTTTTTTCAAGATCAATTTTTTTACCTATTGCCAACCTCCACACACTGACTAGAGAAGCAAAACTACTTCCTAAAGACCTGCAGGATGTTTCATCTTCTCAAAACAACTCAGGAAAAACTCCCCGGGAAGGGTGATAGCTCAGCATAGGTTGCCTGCCACAGCACCATAAAAACAAAGGAAGAAGGAAAGGAAAAATATCTTGTCACTATAAAGACTCTACTTTGTTCTGTGCAAAAGTAACTGCAACTAGCAGTTTTCATGAAACGACTTTGGCAGTGGTGTCCGTGGCTGTTACCATACCCCTCGGGGCATAAGCAGGCGAAGGGAAGATGAAACTCCACAAAAGGGCATACGAAGTGTGGTAGGTTGTAGCAGAAGTTAATGAAACATCGGAATAAAGTAGCGGTTTTTAAACTCCCCGTGTTTTTA